TAACACAAATATCTACGTAAATTATACCAGCGAAGCCAGTGCTCTATTATTAATTGCAATAAATATACACATTTGCAAACGTTGAAAGCTACAATATTTTTTTTTTTATATACACTTTAATCATACTATACAGCCCCTACTTTTTTAGTGAACCCCGAAAAGTGCGTAGTCCAAAATTGTAAATGTGCACTAAGGATTCAAGAAGCGTGTATTAATAAATAAGACTACCTACTGTTTACTGACCTATAGTTTACCTATTACCTACACTATTCACAACAATTGAACTTTTTTTATTTTTAAAAAATAAAATTTCCTATGGTAACAAAAATAGTTTTCAGATAAATTTTTCCAAACAGATCTTTAATTCTCTACTGTTCATTGAAAATAGTGAGCACGTCGGATATAAATACCAGATATATTTAGTATTAGTATTGTGAAGGAAATTCCTCGTCATAATTTTTTTTCAATGTTATCTATATATAATGTAGCCTGTAGGTAAGTACGTTGCCAAGGTACAAAATAATATAATATTACTAACTGATTATCACTATTAAAATAGGTAAAAACTCAAAATAATAAATCATTGATGTATTTACTTTATTTGTTGAAAATACGGGCTGGTAGCATAGTGATTACAATATGACAAGATACATTCAAAGACATAGTTGAAATATTAGCATCTAATAAAAGATAATAATTAATGAGAAACAAAAAACACCAAAAATGAATAATGAAGAACAATTATATTATGTTATACTAATAAATACTACGAGGAATCAAATATTATATTAACTAAATTTTAAATTAAATATCTTTCATAAAATAATGTATTTATTCAATGTTAATAGTGCCATTTGTTTTTAGATTTATATTTTATAAGTATATTATTTTAGTTTGTAAAATAAAAATAGCTCGGTAGTTAGTAATTACCAATCAATAATGTATCATATGATTGCAGGTACATAAAAAAATGTGCAGTTCAATTTTTATGAAAAATAGGGACTGATACCGCTATACATAATAAATAAATATTTCAGCATTATTTTGTTTTAAAACTTTAGTGGAACACGTCTTGCTTATTTTATTCTCCAGCTCCGCGGCATGAAATCTGAAGAGCATTCCCCGCATTTTGCAATATTTCGTATTTCCGTGCTCTACGTATCTACACAATGTTGGCACATAACACATAAGTGCATAACAACATCGATTATTGATTGTTAATAGATTTATTATAATATAATATACCTAACCCTATACGGTGATACTCGTTTCCACCAAATTAATTTCTATATTAAATATTAAAATGAATTAATTGAACGGACCACTTAATAAATAATAATTAGGGGACCATTAGCTCATTATTAATATTTAATACAATAAATGTTTAGTGATTGTTTATAGGTAGGAATAGATACAATAAAATATTTTTGTCAAAATTCTAAGTTTAAACGCTCATAAAAAATTACTGTGGATTTAAGCTCAACTTCTTTTTAATTTGCACTAACAACAACTTAAGAGGAACCTTGTATTACATTTACAAGTTTTTTGACGAAAAAATGTTTTCGAATCATTCGTCTAAATTATGTTTAATAAAGCCTTACACAATAGTATATTATTTCATTAAAGTGAACTACTTCAGTCGTGGCCGATGGATGTGCCTTGGGGTACGAGCCTCATTCGACGACCACATTTCGCCCAAGACTGAAAATGCCTTCCCGCACGAACCACACATACTATTTCTTGTCACACCTCTGAGTTCATAGATCTCGACAAAGGTAATACATATAAGATGTAACCAAAAGTTTATGTCTTGTTAGGATCGTGGTATAGATTTTAGTGTCTGGTTCAGCAAGGAATACGCCCAAACTTTTGGAGGTTTCCAGTTTTCCGCCCAGCACTTTTAGAGATTCTAAAATAATTTATTGCCCGCTGAGGTCACTTTCCAATTGTTCAACCGAATCGAAAACTAAACTTTTGGTGCAGGTGTGACAAAAAAATATTTTCAGCAGTGACTCAGTGGTGATTCGGTATTAAATATTTTAAACCATAAATTATGATTCCAATAAAAACATCAAGATATTAGGTAAATTATACGTTTGTATCTGGATTCTGGACTGCATGTCTGACATTAGACTATCATAATATCCATAATCATTGTATATAATTGTTGATGTACTTACCTATTGATGCATAATGCATATAGACGTATTTATGATTTGTTTTTTCTACGGATTGTGGTTTCTTAAATTTACGTAATAGCGTGGAGAAATATAGACATAATTATAGACGCTATTACTGTGTATAACTACTATAATCTGAATTACTGAAACGAAATACGAAATTACGTCAATACCTACCCAGTACCTAGGTACTAAACCTACGTTGATCAATGTACACTTCTTGTTCGTAAACTATTCTTAACAGATAAGCTCTAAAGTAATTTTATAATGAGGTATTAATGAAATATAAATATACATTATATACCTATAATATATTATAAATTAGGTAATAGAAACAAGCGTTCGGAATTTGAGGCAATATAAATAATAAAATAAATCGTAAAATCTGAAAAAAGGCAACAATTATGATTTAGGAATTCATTATTCATTAGTATAGTTAAAAATTAAATCAAACTCATTTTGATAAAACAATTATCTTTTTATTATTTTCCAAAATAGTATTTGTTTTCCAATCCGAACTCCAGCTATAACTTATAATATGTATTTATGTTGTAAATTGACTAACACATTACACAATTCCTATGAATTGTATCTATTTAGTAGGCTTTGCCTACTAATTTATTTCTACAATTTGTAAATTAAACCCAATAAAAATCATTGAAAAAAAAAAAATTTTAAATATTTTGTTTTGTGGACTGTGGTACAGTATTACAGATAACTGGTAAAATAATAATACATTCCAGCCATATAATATTTTACCACACATATATCATATGTGTATTTGTGAACTTATGATATTGTTATTGAATGTAATTCAACGAATTCATAACGTAGTTATTATGAGTATAATAATTTGTACTTGTATGTCTAACTATAATTGGCCAATTGGGGACTATGCCCTACGTTTTTTTTTATCAATATTACTGGAGACTTACATTCCACCAAATAATTTGGAATATTTGCGCCTATATGAATTGATTGAATTTTAAATTTTACAATCCACCATATTGTGACATATACATTGATTAGTAGTGCATTTAATGATGCATGAAAATATTTTAAAATATCTACCACATGTATTATCATTATTATAGGTATATAATTTAGCTTAAATAAAAAAAAAAGGTATATAGGTAATTGGTAATACAAAATACAACAATTAATGTACAGTCTATAGACGGTAAGACCATAAGCACGAAACATATTTATCGAAAATTATAAAAGGTTCATGGGAGTAGGTATTATGGCATACAAGACTCAATCTCCATTTAAATGAAATTGTATATAAATACCCACACAGTAAAACTAAAAAATTAAGAACATCTTATATACAATTTTATATTATATGTCTTATCGGTTTTATTCAGATAGAGATTTAATAGTAGGTATAAAGTTTTACGTTAACTGGACAACTGGTCACTGACGGATAGGTATACTGACATACCTACTTTATATTATACTAATATACTAAACATATATTTCCATTATTGTTCACTTCACACAACCACACTCCATAGACCATAGGGAACAGCAATAAAATTCAAATAAAGGACAAAGGTGTTAGGTATTATTTAAGTTAATATAATCAAATATTTTATATAATTTAACATAGGAAATTTTTACAGTGTAAATATTAAATACTAGTATTTATAATCAATGATTGAATAGTAGGTGAGTATATATACTATTACTATACAATATTATGGTATAAAGAGAGTGGATACCACTTAGAATCTTGGCTCAAGGAGAGAGGTGACTAGTGAGGCGTCTTGTCCGGGTTATTGTGACAACAGGAAGAAAACTTTTTCAATGATAATATTTGAAAATACTGAACGTACATTTTTTAAAATTATGGTAAGTATAAGCCATGGGTGCATCGTCAATGAACAATTTAAATGAAATACAAAATTGTTGTCACATGTTATTGATTCGGCTGTATAACTTAATCACACGGGCGAAACTGTAGAAAGAAGAGGTTTTGGTCGTTGCTTACTGAGGCTGACATATCAATGAAAACAGTATGATAAATATGATTTAAATCAAATTAATATTCGAAACCTGTACCTGTGTGAGTGTGAACTGGGAAACACCGAACACTAAATACACGTTACGTCAAGGCTATTCGTAATATCCCCACATCTCATCAAATAACAATTTCCGTTTAACTAGGAATGTCGGATGGCAGATAAATTAAGTAATTATTTAATTATTAGTGGTGTTTTATTAACAGCCGTGCGTCGGACGTACTTAGTCAAAATTTTAAAATTAAAGCGATGTTTTCGAACTTGTGATTTTCATACCTAGGTAACGATAATCGCTTCGAGATAATGTTGTGAAAAAACACTTTAAATTGAAAATGCGTATTTTAAATGGTTAGGTACACTGGCACCGTAATTTGAACAATCGTTGAATCGTGTGCAATGATGAAATGCGTAGATGGTAGATCACATTACTGCCTCCAACAAAAATTACTTATTAGGTAGGTACAAGTGTACAACTTAAGAACTTGTGGTCTTGTGACCGTGAGACAGCCTATTTCATATAGATTTATAGGCTGTCCAAGTGTACAGCCATTGTTCATTATATTGGTATAGGATATTATGCGCTATACGTAGAGTTTAAAATGCATTGAAACCAATGAACCGTTTGTACATATTTGTATTTTTTTTATGTATATTACTATATTTGTATGATATATTATATAACATTATAATATCATTAATATCGGTGTATTAATAAAATAATATTATAATATGATTGTATCCATATCGAATATGTCGAATATGATAACAACCATAGTGATAGTAAAACGTAAGCAAACAACACTGCGTTTGATAATGGTTATTGTTTTTTTAAGGCATTATTTTCTTTCATTACCATAGTTTTCACTTTTCATTATTATTTATTATTGCCAAATGGCGATGCTATGATAACATTATTATTTTTCAGATAATAGATATAGTAATACTGTTATATAGTAATAATACACAAATTACATGTCTCTATGTTAGATCAATGTGATGATGTTCATGCATTGTTACCTACAGTAAAATTATTTTATATTGTTTTATTACTCTAAGATTATTCACAAAAATTAATTAATTAGTCACGAATGTTTAGATTATTGTGTAGATTTGCACTATTGTATTGCGATTTAGTACTTTTACTTAATGCAAAATGAACAACACTACCAAGGGTGGGAAAAATAACAACGATTACACAAAGTATGTCTTCAATAATTCTTCAAATGGTAACAAAACGTGTGTTTTTTATCCATCGGCGTTGGATCAACCATTAGATGATGTCCCTTGGAAATTGGTCAATATGTCATTTAAATTATTAAATGTTGACTCAAAATTGGTGTTAACTTTACTCGCAAACCATGGATTTCGTGAGGTGAGAAACTAAAACCATAATATTCAGTTTGTGTAAAGTATTAAGAAATTAAAAACAAATTGCACACATTTTTCAATACAAATTTAAAAATATGTATTATAATCTCAAAAACATTATTTTGTGTGATTACAGCAGTAGGGCCTGTAATGCCTACCTAATATGTATTATAATGGTGGTTTTTTTAGTTATAATAATTGTAGTTAAACCTGTGGTAATATTTAGTAGAGGTTTGTATACAGAAATGCAGGATGTGTCTGTATATTTTGGTCTTGTACATCATATTACATACATTTTTCTATCTGAACTTAAGTAAATTGATTAATTATATGCTGCATTAAAACTTAGATTTTACTTATAAAATGTTCCCCTAAATTGGATCTTACATTAAAAAATACCATTGTTTATAATCATACTGTGGATTTCTGTAGAGTAAACATTTTAAAATGTTGGAAAAAGATACTTAACAAGAAGCAAGTTACTAGTTAGTGAAACATCATAAATAATATCATTAAGTATATGAATACAATATAATATATTCAATGTACAATTTAATATTGATACTTGAAATTGACTATTAAGTATTAATATACATTATATAATAATAACAAATATATCATTAACTTAAAAACCTTGATAACTTTTTTTTTGTCCCTTGAAGTTGTGTAAGTTTTATCATATAAGTTATATAAGAGTTATAAACTTCCAAAAATATGTTAGTCAAATTTATTAATATCCTTCTAGAAATTTATGTTATCGAGACTATTGAATTAACTTTACTTGAAAAATATTATAAGCTAGGAACAAATGTTTTTATCAGTATAATAATATTATACTACCTATTTATAATCATTGTATAATTTCATTAAACCAAACTATTTTACCCACATAGGCAGAACTACGGGTCAGGCCAGTCAGGCCATAGCCAGACCTAATACTGACTATATACCTAACATATTAACTTAATACAACTAAAAATTTAAATTAAAAACTTATTTTATAATTAGAATTTTTTTTCATATTTATCATTTGGCCTATCCTAATAAAAGTTTTAAGTTTCACTTATGTTTACCCACAAGATATACATATATTATATATATATACAGGGTGATTTTTGAAGCATGCTTACCCCATTTTGATAATTATTATTCGGTTAGGTAGTAATTATTGACAAATATCTTATATTGCATACCGAATTATAATTATTGAGCTTATTTTACAAAAGATTTTAGTATAATAGTCTATTGTCCTTATTCCTTAGTATGTAAAGAAGAATAACTAAGGAAGTTTTTGTTCAAATTTCGACTACAAAACGTCAACATTTTTAGAAAAATTATCTGAATCACATTTTCCTTTGGAACATATAGGTTGTCATTTGAAAAACAAAAGTTGGTATTGCCACAGGATAATCCTTAAATGTTGTGAAAAATCTAAGTACACAAAAATATTGTATTTACCTAACTACACTTAAAAATTCAAAAAATCAGAATTTGAGTATATGCATAATTTAAGCATAAAAATGGGATGAGCATGCTTAAAAAATCACTCTGTATATGTTAATTAAAAAGCTCTTGTTTAGTATCTAGTTAATTAATGTTTTTTATAAGTGTTTGTCGTCATCTTCAATAGGTATCTATCATTCTATCCATAGACCATAAGTGCCTAAATTTAAAAAAAAATGTTGGATGCTCTATGTGAAAAGCTTTCCCTTCCCCATTAAAAAAGTGTGTAAAGGATTTAACCATCCATTCTAAAGTGAAAACATATTAATACTTGCTAATATGAATTGTATGTTTTTCATTTATAATAATATTATCTATCAATTTATTAAATTTATTTGTTAAATAAAAAAACTTTTTCATAATAATTTTTTTTTTACAAAATTGTCTTTATTTTTGAAGGAGTATATTTATTGTTTTTAGAAGATATATTTTTATTTTTTTTTTTTTTTACAATACAGGACGAACCCTTTAATACATGAATATAATAGTATAATAATAATAGTTTTAATAGTTTATGGAAACGTGGCTCAATATTAGAGAGAGAATGAAGGGTCAGTGTTGGCAATGCGCATAAGACGGATGATCAGTGAGTTAAGATAGTAGTTTGAGGAAGAGAAAGGTATATGAAATGGAACAGATGATCGTGTACAGCGAGAGGCGACCTTAAATGAGACAATATTCAATTAGTACTGACCACAATAAGAATATGTGGTGGATTTGTGAATATATATTACAGTATAAATTGCTTGATCGATGAATCCACCCAATTTATATCACGATTCCTATTTGTTTTTAGTTTTGAAGAAATTTAAAAAAAATTGCTGAACATAATATACAATTATGATAAATAATGAATCCTGAATCAAAATGTGCTCATTAATCAAACTATCTAATAAAAATAAAGTTTCTCAATTTTAGTACAGATTTCATAACTGTTAATTGTTAATTTAAAATAGCTATTACTTATTACCAAATAAGTATTATTATGACAATAATAAAATTTATATTATTTTATGTTTAAAAATAATTGTATTTGATTAGATAGACTTCTCTGTTGTTGACTGTGTTTCTTTTATTATTTTAATTTTCTCATTTTGCTAAAATCTATTACATTCTAAAATATTGATGACATCTCACCCTTAGTATTGTCTCCGTCTTAAAAGTGTAAAACATTTTTGTTGAACTTTTAAATGTACGTATAACAGTTCTTATTTAGCTTCGAAGCTTTGTTAGTTTTAATTTGAGTAATTTAACATATTAGCAGGTTTATAGGTAGCATCATATTCTGTGGTGTATTGGGAGTTTTTTTGATATTTTAATTTTGAAGCGAGTTATGAGGATTTTTATACTGTAGTAATGTTTTACGCACTTATAACTTGTTTCAAAATTAAAATTTCAAAATAATATTTCCAACAAGCCACATGGTATGTAGTTGTATTTGAGTTTAATAATGGGTAAATTCACTGGAAATGTAAAACGAACAAAGCTAAATGAGAATTCTAAAAATTAATTTGAATTGCTTTATTGCTACACACTTGCTATACAGAGACAACACATGCAAGTGAGACAGTGAGACTTTCTCTTACAGAAAAATCATAATACACATTTGTATACAAATATCTAATATACTATTGTCTATTAGTCATATATTATGAATTAATATTTGTTTTATAATAATATTCTTATAAAATATTATAAAATAATAACCGTACAGCTATTGTCTATATTCCACAACTAAAATGAGATATTTTGTCAGTAGAATCATTTTTACCCACTACTGCCCTTCCAATAACTGCTTTTGACATTCAGTGCAACAAACTATACTATCATTTTTATTTTTTCATAGAAGTATTTTTTATGAGTAATATTAATGATTTAATTTATGATTCATTGCAAAATAAATTGTGTATAATATGATATAACATACCTTATTGGGTTACATTGTGTAAGTAGGTAAATATTCAAATACTTTTGGTGATGTTTGTTTTGTATCTTAGGCGTGTAAAACAAAAATAATATTAAATAATATTTTGTGTACATAAAATGATACTGTTGGAAACGTGACAAATATGTAAATACCTTTTACTTACTATGATGTATCGCATGGTAAAAGAAGGTTAAAAAACAGATTACTGCATAATGTATGTACTAGGTACTAGTAGGTGACTCATAGCATAACATTTTTGATCAAACAAATAAAATAGTAACATTACTTTCACAGAAAACAATAAATAGCTATTGTTGCTTTTTAAGTATGTGCACAAACAATACATTTTTTTAATGTCTTGCAAAGCTGTATATTATTTTAAATTACCATTGTAATTGTTTTCACACTTTGATAATTTGTTTTGAAGTAAAATAAAATTGTTGATTAAAGGTAGACGATACTTTATTAATTGATATATATTTTTTCCATTTTATGTTACAGTAAATTAAAGTTTATTTATTTAGATATTTTTATTTACTTGCTCCTAGTCCAGCATTTTGTTTATATGTTATTACCAAGGTTATTGGGCCTCAAATATATATATTTTTAAAGAATATCAGAAATTCAGTCACTTGTATATAATTATTAATATTAAATATGAACAAAACACAATTTTTTTCAAAAATAAAATATAAAACTATAATATAGTTATAGTAAATTTTTAATAAAGTCACATAATTATCAATTATTAGTCAAAAACAATTGTTTTTTTTCATAATGTGATACAGATTTTACAAATCTGTTTTGTCTCCTTCATTGTAATCTATTATATATTAATAGTTATCATTACATATCTATATGACTATAATTATTAATTACTATGTAGTATGTATTATGTATATATAATATGCATGATACAATTTTCAATATAACTGCCTAATAGTTTTCACAATGTCTAATATATTTATACATATAAAACAACATTTAAATATTTAATAAATTATTATTTTATGAAATATCATAAAATAGGAAAACATTCTGAACAGAACCAATGAGAATTTGCATGTAGTTCTAATTTAAAATTATTTTGTTGTTTCCACATATTCAACTCTTTTATCTCTTCTTGACTAATGTCCCAATTACTAATATTACCAATTTTATTTATTTCTGGACACAAATCTATGATATATTTAACTGTATTAATATTTCCATGTGGCAAATCATTAATATACAGGCAGTTTAAACTTTTTGAAACTTGTTTTGCTGGAATTGTATCTTTAGAATTAAGTAATTCTATGAAATTTAAGCTGTTTAATCCCAAACAAGTATAGACATGTAATACTTTCAGTTCTGGTGTATATTCTATTAATCGTTGCAGAGTATTTGGATGGTCGACTTTACTGAGTTGGATTTTTTCAAGTTTTCTTAATGTGATATTTGATGAACTTGAATATAATGATGATTCCACTCCATCAATTGATAATGTTTCGAGATTGGCCAATTGAGGTAAGAAAATACTCAAGTCAATTGTTAGTGAAACTTCATCTCTTCGAAATTTTAAAAACAATTCTTTT